CCGCCTGCCACCGCCTGCGTCTGCTGTGACGCAAAAAGTACGAGCACACCGTTCTCCAGGTGAGGCTACATAACGATTGATTTGTTCGCATTTTTAGAGGAGTACCTTGAAGATAAGAAGTTGACAGAAAGCTCGCTAACCTCGGCCGGTTTACTGTCTAGCGACGCCAAAATTCCAATGCTGCGATGAGGAAGCGAAAGACGTATGTTGCAGCTAGATAGTACATTATTCCAACACAGTAAAAACGTTTCCTGACTGTAAGTCAACGACAAGCGCAACTTCGATTTATCCCCTCCACCTCCAAAGCTGTATTTGGAGGAAAACTTAAGCGACGATTCTGAGAAAGAAAATGAACATCTATTAGCATATCCCCATACATCCAGGTAAGCAATGCATTTATTTTTACTCAGTCCGATTCACCAAAACTTTTCTCAGCGTTCAGCTGTTAGTGGAACATCCTTTGAGAGTGCACTGCTTTTGAAAAGAAACTGTTGGTTCACAGCATCCCCGTAACCTCCAGTTGCAGCCATATTGCGAAACGTAAAGCGCGAAGTGATAAAACTGCACCAACGAATGACAGCTGTAGAGTTGCCCTTGCATGCGCTGCGTGCACATCAAGCGCCAAGTTCCAGCAACGTGTGCCCATTTCCATTACCAATAAACACAATAGCGCAATTATCAATTTTAAACAATGCACTGGAGAACGCTGAATTCATGAACACCATGGTAAGTCTCATGCAACTTCGGCTGGCTAGCCGAACAACCTCCTCGTGGTGCCAGCTGGGTGGTTCGGGTTTAACCCGTTCCAGCAAATAGTTCGGCGGCAGTGTTCCAGGACGTGGTGGGTTTTCGCCCGGCAAGCGTGCTCCCTATAAAAAGCCACAAATGTCTGCTTATCAACACTGTGACGTGGCGGAGGTGACTCGCCACAAAATAAAGTCACTGGGCCGTGGACATTCGGAAAATGGTATCCAACTCACGGACATCGATCGCTTATTCTCACATTCCTACCTTTAAAAATACAAGCTACATTCAAAGACAATTGGTTGGCGGCATCCGGTTTCGCATTTGCCTGTCACTGTGGCCAGACACAGGACGCCTGCGCCTACAGAGGGACCATGGATGGCTTGCGCTGCACCACCCACAGCTCCACCCACACACCTCATATCCAGTGTAAACCCGAAGGAATAAGACCGAGAGGCATGCGGATGAGAACCACGTTTCATCAACGAAGCCGGCCCACACTCCTTCACAGGCAAACACAAACACGCTGTATTTGGGAATCAAGCGCACACAAGGCGGTGGCTGGACCGTAGTCCGCTCCACACTGACTGCATAGAACCACTCTTCGAGCCTAACACGGCCACAAGGACCGTGCACCCTGTCCCCTCCAGCAACGACCAACTGTCTCCTGGAGCCAGTATGGACGAGGTAGTGGGTAATAGACAGGTAGGCACCTTGTCAACATGCACATCATGCGCAGCCACACCGGGGATATCAAACAACAGCCAAACACCCATACACTTACATTCACTGTTATGCCAAACGTGTACTCTTTGTACATTTTGATCACACTATGTTAGCTAAACATGATCATGCCTGTACTGGTGTGCCTCGCATTGTCGAGAATAAAGGTTTATTTATTTATTTATTTAAAGAGCGAAGTGATAACACTGCACCAACGAATGAGAGCTGTAGAGTTGCCCTTGCATGCGCTGCGTGCACATCAAGCGCCAAGTTCCAGCAACGTATGCCCATTTCCATTACCAATAAACACAATAGCGCAATTATCATTTTTAAACAATGCACTGGAGAACGCTTAATTCATGAACAGCATGGTAAGTCTCATGCAACTTCGCTTAGTCGTTGGCGCAATATTGTTCCAACGTTAGCAGCCGTACCATCTCAGAAAGTGTGCGGAAAGTCATGCTTACTTACATGACTAACAAGTTGGTCAGACAAGTGAAATGGCATGGCCTGCATGAAAAGAATAAGATAACGAACACACCATTTGCGCAAGGGGTCTTGGTATGTTACGTTATAAGCAACCATCATGTCCTCAACATATTCCATTATGAGAAAAAATATCAGGATGCACAGAGCTTAATATTGTTAACAACTTGCGACGCTGGATCCAAGGAATCAAAGAGCGTGAATCATGAATACAGAAGGAAACCGAAGGGCTATCACCGCAAGGTTCAGCTTTGTAAATTACGTGCTCCCTATTACATTATGTTTTCGCGAACTGGGCATTGTTCATTGCATGCAACGTGTGTGATTGCATTAAAGTGCTTTTAGTGGTATCTGAAGAAAGGAGAAGGCGCTTTGGCTTCACCCGTTACTTATTGAAATATGGGAAATATGGGCGTGCAAGAGGAGGCGCCACGTTATTTTTCTCCGCGAGCGCCCGATGAATGACAATATTTGCCACTCTGGCTCCCAGTGGACATCAAACGGGCATTCATCGGACAGTGGTGCTGCGTGCGTAATGAGTTCGAATGCGAAGACAAAAGACGGTCATAGTTGTGGAAGAACCTGCAAAGGAGAATACTCAGTCAGTCTTGTTTATCTCACATATAAAATATCCTGAGAAGCCTAAGCGTTGGACGATCGTAAATCGCTAGGTATGACGAAGTTACGTGTACGTATAATCCGCTCGTAAATAGAGCAGGCAGCGACGCACACAATCACAACCTTCCGGTGACAAGCAAAGTAGAGCCACGGAAGACGAGCTCAGAACCTAGTGTGTGTATATATAGTTAATTGAAACAGCTGTCCAACAACTGTGGCGAAATAGATAAGTGCAAAGGAAAACTAAGCAAATTATTTGCCATCGTTACATAGTCAAAAATACAGAGTAGAAGAAATTCAATACACTTGCGTTATAGTTCCTTCTTTAGTCTATGTTGGTCTGATGCCGACTAGAGATCCGAAGGTATAAATCCGGGTAGTGGATAGACGTGGCAGCAGCACAAGCAGCCGCCGCAGCAAAAAGCGAAAGCAGCAGGACGCGAGCGCGTAGAAGTTGTAGTATTCAAAATTTTGTGAATTTAAGCCTACGGTACAAAATGATCCGTAACGGGAATGATAAAATCAAGGATAAAATACTGTGCAATCACATGCGCTACAGGTTCATGGCGGGTCAAGTACCGCCACCCATGGATCTGGTCTCCGACAAGTCAACGGACTTTGTGAGACTGAATACGCTTTATCTCTATGTACTAGCGACCGTGCATGACTGTTTTGCAAGCGAACTTAAAGCATATTGCTAATGACCTAACCATCTGAAGACCAAACATTTAGCTGTCAACTTTCAAGCAATGCAAACAACGGCCACCATCAAAACTTGTCTTTCAAGCTCAAGTTCAAGTTCCGTTGGGACCGGAACGATAGGATATTCCCGTGAATATTCCTTCTTTTGCGTGTCGTCGGATCGAGGGTTGACAGGTCTGCTTGAGATGTTGAAAAGCCTAAAACAAAGACCGCATCACACCCTGTCCAACTACTTACTGCTCACATTTTCCTGCTCAGCAGTCCTTGCCAGGTCGGTTTACGTGAACTAAAAGAGTGAAGGGTAAGCTAAGAGACCAAGAGGAGGAATGTCAGCTAAATAATGATAATACCGAGGTGAGAAGAAAATTAAAAAGAACGAAGGATAGTTGAAGACACAAGTCGGTTAGGAGAAGGGGTAGGTTTGGTACTGCCACCCAAGAGCATCTAACTGACGCTCGAGACCCTCTACCCTAGACTACCTAACCACGTGCGCCGGAAGCGCGTTCCAACGTTCAATAACTCGAAGTGACAAACGAGTTTCCGTCCTTACCCGGTCAGAACGCTGTTTGTGCAGCTTCAACGGGTGACCTCGGAGACTAGGCAGCTTGGCGAGACTAAATAGCCAGGACTAGTCTGGACCGATCTTACCCGTTAAGATACGATAAGTGAGGATCAAGTCTTCTCTACTTCTGCGGTAGTGCATTGAGTATATACCCAAGCTAAGCAGACGTTCGGGATACGGTTGCCCCCGTACTCCTTGCAATAACCTTTTACCCACTCGCAAAACCCTCTGCAGTGCCATTTTGTCCCTTGAAGGACAAGGTGGACAAGCCTGGATATTGTACTCTGCGTAAGGTCGCACAAAAGCTGAGAACAGTTTCAAAAAATATCGGCCGTTATAACACCGAAGGAGCGTCCATTAAAACACATCAAACGGAACCCACTACAAGCAGCCTTCCTCCAATTTCCCCAGAGTGAAGCAATGAGGTAAGGGTGATACCTACATCAACCTGCTGAATAACAACAGGGAGTTCAATTCCATCGACTACATAGCGCGTGGGGGACTAGCACCTCCAATGCGGAGGACGGAAAATTTTGCCTGAATTTTGGGCATCAACCATAAGGTTGACTAACCCCACAGCCTTTGCAGGGCACTCTGAAGTGCCTCAGAGCCACCAGGGATATCCACAATATTCCAGAGCTTGTGGTTATCAGCAAACAATAGTGACGGTACTCCAAGCTCATGGGATAGGTCATTGACATAAATTGCGAATGGCAATGGCCCTAGAACCGAGCCCTGCCAATTGCCACTATGAAGAGCTTGTCAAAGTTTAACGCTACGCCCCACGCGTACACACTGTCCTCTTCCCTCTAGGAAGGCAGAAACCCATTTAAGGGCGGCTCCAGATATCCCATACGATCTCAACTTCAATGAGAGTCGTTGATGTGGGACAGTATCAAAGGCTTTCGAGAAGTCAACGAAAAGCACGTCGATGGCGTGACCGTTGTCTACTGCCTCAGCCCAGCTTTCACGAGCTACAAGCAAATTTGTCAGACATGAAAATCCCTTACGGAATCCGTGCTGGGCCGCACTGAGAAGGTTAAACTTAATCAGGTGATTCTCCACCGAATCCCTGACCAATTTTTCAAACAACTTAACTACTACACTTGTTAAGCTGACAGGCCGGTAGTTCGCGGGCAGAACTCTGTCCCCGCCCTTAAAAATCGGACAGATGATTGCCTTCTTCCATTCCGAAGGTAAGGCACAGCTGTCGAGTGATATTGTAAACATGCATGTCAGAGGGCCACTTAGCTCAGCGGCCAATTCATGCATCAGCTTCGGATGAATTGAATCAGGGCCAGAAGCTTTGGAAGGATTTAGCCCTTGCAATAGCCCGAAGACTTGTGTCTCCGTTATGCTGATTTCAGTTAGGCAAGAATCCTCCGGAACTTTTGTGACCAGCTCAACCTGAGGTAGAGAGGCCTCATGAGAAAAGACACCAGTATACTGTTCGCTAAGTATACAGGCATTATCATAGTCGGTATGCCCATGGGTCCCGTCCGCTCGTAGTAAAGCCGGTATAGACGAGTTTGTACCGCTACGTCTCTTTACGTAAGCAAAGAACTTCTTTGGGTTTGTTACGGCTGCGTTAGCCAAATCCTCCTCGTACTGAAGACGAAGAGTTCTAAGATGATGCTTACATTTATTTCTAACCGCTCGATAGCTTTCGTAGGTGCTGGTTGATGAAGCCGCTTGGTAAGTTCGCCAGCACTTAGAGCGCTTCCTGAGCAGGTATTTACCTGTATGATCTATCCATGGAGGCTGCGCCCGTGTCACCCTTCTCTTAGTGAGTGGGATGTGGGGAGCAGAGATCTCGGTGAGGTATGCCTTAAATTTCTCCCAGGCTGTCTCAACGGTGTCAGCCACGGTGATCGCACAACGCAAAACTGAAGCTTTGTCTCGCATTGCGTTAAAGTCTGCCCGCCAAATATTTGGACATGCCTCAGCGGTAGCTTGATGACACTTAGTTAGAGCACATCGAAAGGATATGCAGACATGGTCACTGGCTCCTAGAGGACAGTCGTAGGTAATATCACTTACGAAATCGTGTGACTTCGCAAAAATGAGATCCAAGGTAGACGGAATTTGGTTGCGCATATATCTAGTCGGGAGGTCCACGAACTGATGCAAAGGCAGTTGCAATGTTAGCTCAAGGAGATCCGAACCGAAAGTGCCCACCGCCGAACTGCAAGATAGATCAGCCCAGCAGACTTCAGGGAGGTTGAAGTCACCCAGTATTAGACACCTATTGGCAGCCTGAGTACGAATAAATTCAATAACCTCCCTGGAGATACTTCCAGGACTTCGATATACCACTACAACTGTAAACTGAGCAGAGGAAGTGCACACAATAGTCGAGAGGGCTTCAACAGTTTGATCCGGCGACTGGAACACACAGGTCCTCAACACATCGAGTTTACAACTCACATAAAGAGCGACGCCCCCACCTTGGCGGCCAACGGAGCGATCGCATCTAAGCAGTGCGTAGCCAGGAAAACATACTTCACCGTCTGTGATATCCGGGGACAGCCACGTTTCGGTGATAGCAAGTATGTCGGGACGAGATTTGTCTACAAGTAGACCCACCTCGTGTACCTTGTTCCTTAGGCTACGCACATTACTAAGCACTACCCGAAGGAACTCGGCACGACCAGCCCTGGGTCGTACGCTACCAGGAGAGGTTCTGGTAGGGCAGAATTTGACTTCCGGCTGACCACCTGAAAACCCACAAGACGAAGGCCTTGCTCACCAGCCGCCCGCCTGCTCTTGAGGCTTTTGATGGCTTCCTTTAACTTCAGTCGATCTGCCAGTGGGAGGTCCGGCTGAACGCTGACATTACTACCCTTGAGTTTGAATGCAAAGCGCATTAACGCTTTGCGTTCCTCCGGGGTTGAGAGGACTACACGAAGTAGTCGGGGTCGCGGATTTGGCGTGTCTACAGGGACGTTCCCCAATCTGGTTAGTTTCCTGATAGTGACACCGGGGAAACCAGGTGGAAGCATCTTGTTGACGCAGAGCTTGAACCACTGGAGGTCATCCAGCATGCGTTCCTTTGGAAGAGCTGCCGCGGATTCAGCAACGTTACGAAAGATAACGCTACTATCAGTAAAAGAATCACCTCGACGAGGCGTATTCACTCCACGCGTCTTCGACGCGACCTCAGTTTCGACCGGTTTGGCAGATGACACGGCGCGTTTCTTCGCCAAGTGAGCTGGAGTAATTGAGGTTGAGGCTTTATTCTCTGCCTCCAACTCCCTCACCGGTCTAGTCTTTTCAGACTTTGCGGGTGTGGCCGAAGTCGACACGGCGCGTTGCTTCGCCAATGGAACTGGGGTGATTGGAGTTGGAGTTTTGTGTTCCACCTCCAATACCTTAATGCTTTCAGTACCTTCAGGCTTTGAGGCAGCCTTACGGACTTTCTTAGCCCTCTTCCTCTTGCTTTTATTGGGCCCAGGGGCCATAAGTTCGGTCTCGCTTTGGACGGCTTCCAGTACGACATCAGAGGCCCCTTTAGAGGCATTCTGGACCGCTGGGACACACGACACGGTAGCCATCACCTCAGTCGGATTTTCATCGACAGCAATTGAGGTTAGTTGCGTGTCTTCCTCCAATGAGCCGACATCAATAGAGACTCCCATATTCCTCATCAGTAACTCCACTTTCCGATCAAGAGATATGAGGAAAGACCACAACTGCTGGTTACCCAGCCCGACGTTGCTCGATGTCTCCTCAGTGACCTCAAGACGCGTAGATCGACGGCGACGGCATAGAAGACAATTGAACAGCATGCTATCGCTAGTCGAAAGCATTGCGTACTGATCAGGGCTCAAATCGGTACAGGTCTCATGGTACCAGCAGTTGCATACATAGCACTGCATGCCACCAGACTCGTCCGTCACGGGCTTTGAGCAGCTCCCGCTGCCGCATACAGCATTAGATTCGCTGATCAATGCAGCCGAAGACACATTAGCGCCGGTATTCAGTGAATCCGACATGACGCTTTCAAAGAGTGTGAAACAAGTATCAAAACGTAAAACCGACAAGCTGTTACCTGCAGGGCAGTCAACAGAAACAGTTATGGGTTAAACAAGGTGCAAAACGGATTACAAAACACAAAAATACCGGAAAATAGCCAGAGGCTGAACCCGAAAAAGATGGACGACGTTGGTAAGTACCCGAAAACGGGTACGACGTAATCCGGGGAAAACGATGATCCAAAATTCTTTGGATCAAGCGAAATTTGACAAAAGTCAAATTTTTGCACGACACTTGTAAACACTGTTCCGGAACTGTCCTTTGAAAGTAAAACCTCAAAAAGACAGCACGCACAAAAATTTCAATTTACCGCCAGGTTGTTTGACGTCCTGTGAATACTACGTGGTAACTCGGTGTTTTGGCGTGCCATACTGATCGAGATTTTTGGCTGAAATAACGTGGCAAGCAGTGGTTGAATAAATACGTGAAATGAAATGTGACTATTGTCAAATTTCCTATGATCCAAGATAGGTTGGATCGAGTAAAGTGGTACTGGAAAAAGCGTCTCCCTGACGCTTACTGGTAGTTTTGCGGTTGTTCCCTTTTTTAATTGTTTTACTTCCTGTTTTTCTCTTTATTGTAGTCGTTTTACGGTGGTATATGTGTTTTAAATTGTTCTGTTTTCCACTTCAACATGGTCGTCTCGCGAAAAACCGAGACTGATAAGCACCTTTTATTCGCCCGTTTAATTGCGAATAGGGACACACTTTCCAATTTCTCGGATTTTGTGAAGGATTTCTTTCGAGTTATCGAGTGGGAAGAGCTAATTGCGTTCTTAGCTATGACGTCAAAATGCCTGTTGCAGTAAGTGTGACCTCGCGTTCTAAGGCCTATAGTACTCTGAGTGTGATGCATGACTGCATATTGCCTGTTGCGACATTTGTCCTGTACACTATGAGTCTCTGCAATGATATACTACATCGTCTATCGCTGTTTCCTGTCGCCGCTGCCGTACTTCATTAAACAGTTGACTCCTTTACGCCGGATTTCCAGCCCTGAGCTGTCATTCTACCTAAACGAAGGTTGAAGCTTCCACTGCATTGGACTCTCTTGTCTCATCACCTTTTCCGTCAACACCTAATTCGACTCAACTACCCCCGCGGGTAAATAAAGCCGTGTCCCATCTGCTTCCCAATCAGAACCTTTGACACACGCCTTGCCTAGTGAGCCCGCGACTGAGACATACGCTGCCGTGAGGAGGAAAACTCCCACTGTCGCAATGGGTCAGGCAGTCTAAGTCCACACCCAAGAAAACTGCTTCCCAGACCCAAATAAAACCTGTTCTCGACAAAATAAACGAGCCGGATAGGTTGACCAAGGACAGGGCGTCACCACAGCCTCAGATCTCTGGCCGCGCTCTACCACCCTCTCGTGGAAGATGTCCTATCATTGTGTACGCCCCAGAATCCACCAAATACACCTCTGCAGAAAGATGCTGAATGACCAAGGGTTCCTTGAGCGAATGATTTCCGTGTTATTCGATGAAGATGCATTGGGTATAAACGTTATCTTAGCCTTCCGCTTGGGCGGGAAACAAGAGGATCCTTTAAAGGTACACCCCCTCAAGTCGTGCGCCAAAGCGAAGAGGAATGCCGACCCATCCTCCGGCAAACCCCACCTTTGAAAAGTGAGCCTTTTTACGCCGTTAGATTTTTCTCCAGAGGATCGTATTAAAATGAAAACAGCCATTGATGAGCTCCGGTCCCGCCGAGCGAATGGTGAGACAGACCTCCACATCGTGGGTTTTTGCGTAATCCGGAGAACCCCAAGAACCCCGTTGGAGGCCAATTCTCCTCAACCTAGGACCGTAGAGTACGAGAGCGGACTGCGTGTAATTTTTGCCAATGTATGCAATCTGAGAAATCAACTTGATGCGGTACAGATACTTGCGTCAGATACTCGCCCAGACTTGATGGCCTTTACCGAAACTTGGCTCTTTGCGGACATCATAGCTTTAGAGGTTTCTATCCCCGGATACAACCTCTGTCGAACCGACCGCCTTGGAGGTAGGCCCGGTGGCGGCGTTATACTTTACTGGAAGCCCGAACTCAATGCCCATTTAATTGCAGTTACTAATGTCCACGAAGGTGATTTTGATGCCCTTTGGTGCCGTATATATTATCGATGCAGATCCTACCCTATTGGTGTTGTCTACAGCACGCCATCCGGATCCGAAGTGCATTTGCTCGATTCGATCAGGAAACAAGGCGCGGGAATGGACCTTCTTATCGTGGGGGAGTTTAATGCCCCTTGTATCGATTGGGACTTACATTTTGTGTTCGTCCACCTGATTCTTTTGATGTTACCTTACTTGAGAATGTTCTCGAGTGTAACTGGTTCCAACACATCAACATGCCAATCCGCATTGTTGCAGACCAAACGCCAACTATTATGGACCTTGTGCTTATCCCAGCTCAGTCAAACGTTACGAATCTAACAGTTCTTCAACCCATCGGAAAAAGATCATTGTGTCGTTTCCTTCCAATGGACTCGTTGCCTCACGATCCATAGCCAAGGTGATTATCGTCGGAACTTTTGGCATGTAGATCCCCTCGGTCTGAGCACAGCCGCAAGCGCTATGGACTGTAGTATTCCTGATCCCATTTCTCTTGATAATGCGTGGAACCTTGTGCTCTCCAAAATGACTTCTCTGACAGAGCAGGTCGTTCCTTTCTCCCGTAGCAAGTCCATCAAGAGGAGTTCACCTTGGATTGACAGTGAACTGAGGTCTCTGATGGACAGAAGACGCAACTGGTGGGATTGTTTCAGGCGACCTCAAACAGCGTTCGATTACTCTTCCTACAAAACTACCAGAAATGCTTGTGTCACGTTGAAGCGGCAGAAACGTCAGCAACATGAACTAGCATTAGCAGCACATTCCAGAACAACACCAAAAATGCGTTTCTCTTATCTACAAAGAAGCACCAGGGCTGGCAGTGGCATCCAGACCTTGCGTTCATTTGAACATCGAAATTTACTTTACGAATACGCTGATAAAGCCGGTCCTTTGGCCAAGCAGTACGCGAAAGCAACTCCCGCCTGCGACAACACTTTGTCCAGTTTTCCTTATCTGTTGGATCTAGTAGACATTAACATTAATTCTGTGGTTAAACTTCTCTTTGATTTAGATCCGCATTCTTCACCCGGCGCGGATGGCTTGCACCCCCTGTTCCTTAGGACTGTCGCGCAGTACAACGCCCCTGCTATCTGTCAGGATTTCCGTTTTTCCTTTGAAGCTGGGAGTCTCCCGTCAGCTTAGAGTGAACATTGTAAAACCCGAATACAAAGTAGGGAACAGGCAAGATCCAGCCAACTATCGTCCTATCTGCTTAACCTCGATATTGTGTAAAGTTATGGAGCGGATCTTGAAGCAGGCTCTTCATCTCTACCTCGCGAACAGAATCTCTTCTCTTGTGCACAGCATGGTTTTCGAAGGTCACGCTCATGTACCTTGATCTTACTAGTTACTAAGGAGAAATGGTCGAAATCGCTAGATTCCGGCAAACGTTTGGACGTGTTTGTGGATTTCACCAAAGCTTTCGACGGGGTCCCGCACGAACGATTTTCGCTCAAACTCCGACGAATCAGTATTGCCGGGAATCTTTTCGTCTGGAGCGCTGATTTCCTTCACGACCGCACGAAGCTGGTACATGTAAACGAAACCTTTCCCGCCCCTGTTCTCACGACTAATGGAGTCTCACTGGGTTCTGTCCTCGGCCCCGTACTTTTCAACATCTTCATCAATGACTTACCGTCCACACTCCAGGCGAATTGCCTAATCTACGCTGACCACCTGAAGCTGTGGATGGAGGTAACCAGTATGGAAGATGCTGACACGTTGCAATCGGCACTCGACCTGCTACAGGATTAATCAATCAAGCGGCAGTTGCCAATGAATAATGAGAAGTGTTCAGTTCTTCCAGTTGGTGCGTTTGCCTCATTTGAAAGCCACAATATTGGTGGTTCCTTGCTCAGAAACGCCACTTAGGGAAGGGATTTGGGAGTGCTACTTTCGTCTGATCTCAAATCTAATAAAGATACCACGAGAAAGGGCTCTGCGGCCTATAGAATGTTTCACTCTATACGCAGAGTCTTCTCTCGCCTGACCCCGGGGATCTTCCGGCTCCTGTTTACTACACATGTACGCCTGCATCTGGAATACGGGCTACCTGCCGCCTACGCCCTTACGAAATTTGAAGGTGATATGACGGAAAAGGTTCAACGGATTGGATCCAAATCTGTTGCAAAGCTGCGGGACCTGTCCTGTTCCCTCAGACTCAAACAAGCGAACCTCTTTTCCCTGGCTTATCGTCGTCATCGCGGAGACTTGACCTTCAACCGACGTATTATTAGAGAAGAGTTGGGGTGGGAAAGACAGGAGTTCTTTCATCTCAACACAGAGAATTCAACAAAAGTCCACAGTTTGAAACTGTTCAAACCGAGGTGTGATCGAGTGCGATCCAGCCTGGCCTTATCCTCGCGAGTTGTGAATGACTAGAACTGCCTTCCGGAGTCCATCGTCGTTGCCGTGACCGAGGTATGCTACAAGCATTTATTGGATTCTCATTTTAGTTTACGGGGATCCAGCTGTTTCCAATGCAGCTTCAGTGGTTCTTTGTGGGACCTTGCTCCGCAATGACCCAGGCTATCTCCGAAAAGACTGGGTAGTGACGGAGCTGACAAAGGAACTTCCTTCTACTCTCTATCATCCAATGATCCGCTGACCTTGCGTCCTCGTTTGATGAGTCAAATGCAGCTTGCAACGATTCTGCCTGTTCATTGCCAGTTACGGATTCATCTGGTGGTAGGCAGTGCGATGTTTGCTCTTGTTGTCATCACAAAAGTGCCGACCTCCGAGCGAATCAGTACAATATGCTAACGTCAAGTGAAATCCTGTTTACATGTGCTGATTGTTGCGCTCAGAAAGCAAAGCCCTCGGCTTTCACCAGTGCTAGATGCAAAGCACTTGCATCAAGACTTACCTTTGTTGAGAAGGTATTAGCCGGGATCGCCTCTCTTGCCTCGTCCGACTCTAAAGTGGATTTGATTATGAAATCCCTAAATATTGCGAAGGTGGACGCTGTAACGGACGTTCCTCCTGACAACAGTCCGACCATTGACGAGGCGTTCATCCTACCGGACGCTCTAGTTTAGATGGATATGGCTGACACAGATGCCTTGGATGTCATTATTGACTCGCTCCATTTTTCTGTGTATTGCAGCACAATAGCTGAGGTGTTCCCCACCTCTAGCCAACGGGTATCATGACGAT